CTCAGTGTGTGTTTCCTAAGAACAAGGACATGTCTAGCACAATAGTATGTAATAGGACAAAAATCAATATCAGGAGATGAAAATTAATATAATACTATTATTTAATCCCCGATCCATATTCAGATTTCCTCAAGTGTTTCCATGACATCCTTTAAGCTCTTTTTCCCAATCCAGGGTCACATGTTGCATTTAGTCGTTATGTCTCTTCAGTCTTATTTAATCTGGAAGAATCTTTTTTTTTTAACATTTAAAGAATATTATTTTAATCATATGCTTTTCTTCAAACAAAGAAAAATTATTTACTTTAGAACCTGGAGATTTTAGTGGAATATTGATTAGCAGGTGAGTAACTTTGGGACGTAAGTTTTACTCTATAAACTTAGGTCTAAGTGAAATGACAAAATTTTATTGTGTAGTTTCCTTTTTCCTAGAGTCAATACTTGCTTTGTTTTTTTGGTTTCTTTAGTTTTCTATAATGTATTATTAATCTTTACCCAAGCTCAACTTAAACTCTCCAGTGTGAGCAAACCGGGCACATAACCCATCAATTTCAGCTTTAACAATTATTTAAAACAGCAATCATGAGAGAGAATCACCGATCAGCATACTGCTCCCACCTGGACGGGTTTCTGCTTCTCTTTGCTCCACAGCTCCTGGGGTGTTCTTCATCATCACCCCGAGAATTCCCTTCACGTCTTTTTTTTGTATTAGGCTCTGGGTTTCTTGTAAGTCATGTCCTCTTGCCTTACTTGCTCTGTTTTGGCGTTATGCAGTCTCTAGTTGGCTTTGAGAAGGAATGGATGGGATTTTTCTTTTTAAACATGACATGTCTGAAAATGTCTTCACCTAATTTAATTGATAGTTTGGTTATCAAATTCTAATCTGGAAGAATCTTTGTTGTTCTTGAGCTTCACAGTTCTGCAGAGTTCAGGATCGTCATTTTGTAGAATGTCCTTCAGTTTGGCTTGTCAGATGGTTCTCCGTGGTTAAATTCAAATTATTCAGTTTGTGCATTTTTGGCAGAAATGTCACCCAGAAGTGATGTTATGTCTTTCTCAAAGCATTCCTTCAGAAGACAGGTGTCAGTTTGTCCCAATATTGAGATATTGTCTTTGATCATGTGGTGAAAGTGGTGTTTGCCTGGGTTCTCCACCGTAAAGTAACTATTTCCTTATAGTAGTAATTAACATGTAATTTGTGGGAAGATACTTTGAGATTCCTTAACGCCTCATCCAAAAAGTTCACCCACTAATTTAGTGTCCATTGATGATTTCCAACTTTAGTACTCCCTCTATACTTATTAGTTGGCAATTTACTGTAAAAAGAGCTTTCAGTTTTCCTCTCCTTTATTTATTTATACTGATATGAACTTTAGATTCTTATTTGACTCAATGATCTGTAATCCACCACAATCATTATTTATTTTATGCTCAGATTGTCCCAGATTTTGACTTCAGTCCCTAATTACTGTGTCTTTTTTATATAAACCCAATATTCTTTGAGTATCTCTTTACTTTCTGGCAACAAAATGTTTAAAAGATAATCTCATAATTTTGAAACCCCAGCCCTGAAATCAGCCTTTTCCCCAAGGAGCTCTGATTCGTTTTAACAGCGTGATATTCAGTAACCAAGATCTGACACTTGGTGTACTTACCACTATCACTAGTTGTGTATCATTCCTGTGAGGCTCTCCCAGTGGGCAGAGCTAAGAAATATATGTACGTGTGTACGCGAATGCATGTATTTCTTTTTTTAAATATATTTTTATTGATTTCAAGAGAGGAAGGGAGAGGGAGAGAGATATAGAAACTACAATGGTGAGAGAGAATCATTGACCAGCTACTTCCTGCACACCCTCCATGGGAATAGAGCCTGCAATCCAGGCATGTGCCCTTGACCGGAATCGAGCCCAGGACCAATAGAACCCAGGACCCTTTAGTCTACAGGCTGACTATCTATCCACTGTGCCAAACTTGCTAGGGCTGTGTTTATGTCTTTATCTATATATTAAAAGGAAGAAATTCATAGATACTCCATTGAAAGAAGAGAGGAATGAAAACCATTTATTTTTTACAAAGAATCACTTTGACCCTGGTTGGTTGCTCAGTGGTTAGAGCATCCGGCCACACACCAAAAGGTCTTGGGTTCTATTCCCGGCCAAGAGCATGTACCTGGGTTGAAGGTTCAATCCCCGCTCCACTGGCAAGTGCAGGGGGAGGGAGCAACCAGTTAATATGTCTCTCTCACATCTATGTTTCTCTCTCTCCCTCCCTCCCTTCTACTCTCTCTAAAAACCAATGGAAAAATATCCTCGGGTAAGGATTAACCAAAAAACCTTTTTTTTAAATCACTTTGCTCAATGTGTTCAGAATAGACTGTAAGGGAACAAGAAACAAGAGCAGATAATCGGGGTGAAAGATGAGGGTGGCTTGGGCCAGGGTGTAGTGGTGCAGTAGTCCATTTTTTTTTACATATTTTAAATAAGAAGTTGCTGACATTCAACGTGCAGTGTGTGAGAGAAGAATCAGAGAGGATCCTAAGGTTTTTAGTCTGACCAACTGAAGAAATGGAATGTCCATTAACCCAGATGGAAAGACTACAGGTGGAGCAGGTTTTGGGAAGACACATTAGGAGTTTGGTTTGGACATTTTAAGTTTGTTATTGCCAACTAGATATTCACGTGGAACTGATATGTAGGCAATACTATATATACATCTGTAACTCATTGAACAGTGTTGGAGCTAGAGATGAGAATTTTGGATGTATTAATGTAGAGATCCAAGAGATGATGAGTCAGCAAAGGAGTTTGTGAATGAACTGCTAATGACCTAGAAGGAATCTCAGAAGAGTGTGGTGTCTTGGGAGGCAAGTGAAGAGAGCGTTTCTCAGAGGGAGTAAGCATCTGTGTCAATTGGTCATTTGGTAAGCTTCACCAAGGCAGCTTTGATGAATGGGGGCAGGAGCACCTGATTGGAGAGAGTTCCAAGGAGACTGGGAAAATGGAATTGGAGGCAGTGGGTATAACGTTGCAGGAGAGGGGAACAGAGAAATGGAGGGATAGACGAAGGGGAACATGAGGTCAAGATAGCTTCTGTTGTCTTGCTTACTCTAAATTGGAATACATTTTAGTCTGTAGGCTGGTGGGAATAATCCAGTTAGAGGGGAAATCTGATGGGATGGGAAAGAGAGCAATGTTCGTGAGCCCTTGTGGGCCAGAGGGAAATGGTGATCTACTTAGTAAGTGTAGAGAGGTTGGTGGTAAGTGGAAGGATTCATCCACAGTGCTGAGGGAGAGGAAGGAAGGGTCTGTGGCCACAGACAGGTAGGTAGGTAAGCAGGCAGGTAGGTGCGATTGTGGATATCGATGGTAAAATCTCTTCAGAATGCCTTATTTTCTCAGTGAAAAAGGAAATAAAATTGAGGGGGGATGCAGGGATTTATGGTTTGGAGTGAAAGGAAACAAAATAGTACAGAAGGGTTGCAAGGTGAATGAATTACAGAAATGTAATACGATTGATCAATGGACTTGAGGAATCACCTGAGTTTGGTGGAATTACGAATTCAAATTGGCAGTTAAAAGGCTTCTGCAGGACACAACCTTCGGAAATGTAGGGAAGACTCTAAAGCCTGCAAGCGGGCGTTCATGGAGTGGTCACGGGTGATTGAGTCTCTGAGTTCGAGAATAAATGCAGGATCTTCTCCAAGGAAAGAAATGACTGGGAAAACAAATTCCTCTTCTTCCGAAGGCAGTATTCACATTCCCAAAACTACTGGCGCTGTGAGCAGGATTCGAACCTGCGCGGGGAGACCCCATTGGATTTCGAGTCCAACGCCTTAACCACTCGGCCATCACAGCCACAAGGGGCCCTACGTCTGCACAACTATAGCTGTCTATAAAGAGGTTTGCCCCTGGCCGATCCCGCCCCGCTTCCACCCCGTTATCTCGAGATATTTTGCATATGGACCTGGACTGGATGCTGCTGGCCGCGCCAGCTCTGCATCAGGCGTCAGCAGCCCCGTGGGCGCAACTTTCCTGTTCTCCTTCCTCGCACGGAGCCAAGTGTGGCTCCGTCAAAATAAGCCCAAATCGGCCCCAAACCCTTGAAAGCAAAGTGATGCTCGATTGCGAGAAGCCTTTTGGAGGCGGAAATGCGCTCGCCCCTCAGCAATAATAGAATACTGGCAACTGGGCCCGGTACCGCTGGGATTCGAATCCAGGATCTCCTTTTTGCGCAGGCACTTTATTGATTGTAGAGAGGAAGAGCGAGACATTGATTTGTTGTTCCACGTATTTATGCGTTCATTTGATTCTTGTATGTGCCCTAACCAGGGATCCAAGGGCAACGTTGGTGGACCCGGATGATGCTCTAACCGAGCTCCCCAGCCCGAGCTGGACCGGAGCTTTAACCAGCTAAGCCATGGCGCCATGCCAAGCTGGTACATCTGCAGGTAGACGAGCTATTTATGTGGGAAATAGCGAAAGCTAATTGCAGAACAATGGCTGTTCCGAGTCCGCAGTGACTCAGCCCTTTCAAAGGTTTCCCTTCCCAAAGGTTTTGCGATTTGAACCTCAAAGCTAATGCTCCGCCCCTCCTCCTTCCACACTTTTGGGGGCCAACTTGACCACGCACGGGTTCGTGACTCCTCCCTTAGCCACCTAACACCTTCAGGCCTCCTGTGTGGGGACAGAGGTCAGACACCAGCAGGCCGCGTCTCCCCTTGTCTCGGGCTGACACGGTGGTGCTTGCCCAAGCCCCCAGCCACAGGTTGCTTCTCACGTCTCCTTCCCTGCACAAAGGCAGCCGAGGTAACGCTAGTGGCCAGCGCAGGGTTTGAATTAGGTGGAGATTTAGCAGGCTCAGCACAGCCCCTCAGCGGGAAAGGGTGTGGGAGAAGAGGGACAGGAATTGCTCGCTCTCACTACAACCTTCCTGGAAGCAGAGCCACGCCTCCTCACGAAGACCTCCTCTTACCCAACCCCAAACTTTATTCCACAAAGCCCTGGGTTTTATTTTTATTTTTTGTATTAAAAATATTAACAGACACAATATCAAAAACACAAACGTCTTAGGTAGAGGGTACAGCTGAGAACGCCTGGGTCCCACCTGAGGGGCAGCACCAGGGACTCCATGGTCCACCAACCTCCCCCACCCTGAGGGGCAGCACCAGGGACCCCATGGTCCACCACCTCCCCCATCCTGGAGCAGCTAGAGGTTTGGACCACTGGCTCCTGCTTGAGCCCGGGGCCCTCCTTCTCCCACCTGGGGAAGAGGTAGGAGAGGACTGCCTCCCCCAATAAATAAGTGCAGCCCCCACCCTTGGTTCCCAAGACTAGGGCTCAGCTGGGACTTGGAGAGGCCACCTCAGCAGCCTGTCAGCAACCCTGTCCAGGGAAGAAAGGACTCAGCAGGGGTGGGAGCTGAGGCTTCTCTGGAGAGTTCCACCCTTTGTGCCCTAGAGGCCAGAGGCAGCCCCTGGATCTGGGCGGATGGTGACGGGGGTCCAGCCCCCATAGCGGGAGAAGCTGGGACAGTTTGCTATTGGTTGGTCCAGCCACATCTGAGTTCTGGGAGTTGGATGTGGAAGAAGCTTCTCATGTACTCCTAGAGGCGGCCTCCAGATGTAGTTCAGCTGGTGCCATTTTCTGTGGCAGGTAAGGCTGGACTGGATGAGCTCCCACCTTGTTCCTCCTCCTCCATGGCCAGGTCCTGAAAGCTTGAGACCCCAGCCCCAGCTTGGGCCTGGGCCTCATCTCTGCCCTCATCCTCACAACTGCCACCACCACCTTCGCCTCCACCCTCCTCCATGGGCTCCAGCCCCAATCCATCCAGTCCTGAGAAGAGTGGGTCTTCAGGGTGGCCAAGGTTTTGGGTGCTACTAGCGCAGTCCACACAGGCCTTGGAGAGAAAGAGGGGGTGAGTCAGGCATGGTTCTCCCACTGATGACCCACTACCCCAGCTCCCTGAGTACTTCCCAAAATGTACTCCGAGAAAATACTAGTCCACATAGATGCACGTGGGCCAAGATTGGAAAATCCACTGTACCCTGTATCCAGACCTCACTATGGGATAGTCACAATGTTCATTAGCATGACTACAAAAACTCATGCGGTGTAATACTATATAACCTAGCAGCAAACTCAGTAAAATTAAGATCCTTTAGAATAATCCAATGACAGTAAAGGGAATCAGCCCTTAGCCTCTATCCTCTTGACCTGAGTTCAACTCTTTCTTCTCCCTCCTACCCCAGGCTTCTCTCACCATCACATCAAGGACCCGAGGCAGCTGGCCCTTCCGGACCCAGGAGTGCACGGCACCCAGTTCCCTCCGCTGGTCCTCCGAAAACCGAGGCTGCTGCTTTTGCATGGCCCGGAGCCGCTCCCGGTCCTGCTTCAGCACCGAGGCCATGTCCCTGCCCAGGGAAGGGGTTCAGAAGGTAAAAGCTGGGAGGTGGAAGCAGGGCCCATGAGGCTGGCATTCTTCCGCTACCACAACTCCCCACCCACTGCCTCATGCTCCTCCCCTGAGGAGTTCAGGGCCTGCAAGACCAGGAGAGCTGCCCTCAGCCTGGGAGAAACTAATGAGAGGCTCCACCAGGCAAGGGATGGAACAGAGAGCCATAGAGGAGAGCCAGCCCCAGAAAAGAAAACCCCAAGTTGGCTGGGAAGTGAGGCTGGGCCAGCCTCTCCACTTCTTTGAAAGGGTGCCAAGGAGGCCTCAAACTCCTCACCTGGAGGGCACCTGGTAGGTCATCATGACACGCTGGTCAGCATTGGCCATGAGCAGCCAGATGGGATCCTGGAGCACGTACTTAATGACCTGGTCCCCGGGCTCAGCCTTGGCCTGGGCAGCCCCAGCCTCAGCTTCAGAAGAGTCGATGCTGCCGAAGTACTTGCTTGTGTGGCTACTCTGACTGCTTCCTATAAAGCAGGGTGCCAGCCAATGAAGTCAGGCCAGGTACTCCCACCTCCCTCAAGGCCACATATCCAGCCCACTGGCCTCAGGAACCTAAGCAGGGCATGGCCCAGGCTGCTCAGCTAACGTGGGGCCTGGACTCCTAACTCCCCCGTCACTGTTCTACCTTCGGAGGTATGGTGGGGGCACTCACGTGTGATGCTGGCTGAGGTGCTGCCCCCTTCATGGGAGCCTGAACCAGACCCAGAGCCCAAGCCAGAGCCCAAGGAGCCTGAGGCAGCAGAGCCTGTGCCCGAGCGAGAGTCCTCTTGCAGCAACAATTCCAGGAGGTCACTGGAGCCCGAAAGTGCATCCTGATTGGAGGACTCAGTTACCTCCACCTGGTGGGGGGACCGGGAAAATTAAGGGATCAACACCTCGCTTTCCCTTCAACTGCTTCCACTGGTTGGGGAGCACACCCAACCCAAGCGGTCTCTGATCCTACTCCACGACACTGGGGCCAGAATGAGGGAGCAGAGAGCTGGCGCAGAGTAGGGACATGATGCTGAACCATTTCCAAGTGGCAGATGCACTCTCAGAAGTTACTGGGATGTCCGCACCACCTGTCAGACAAACAGGACTGTCCCCCTCACAGATAGGCAGCTGGTTTCCGCCTTATTCAGAAATTCAGCTGGGGTCTCCCACCCGCCACACCACCTTCTGGAGATGAGGTGCAGGCAGGCAGAGGGCAGGCAGCAACACAGGGTAGAGGAGGAGTAAGGGGAGAAGGGCTGTGTGGGGCTGCAAGAGGATGTGGGGGGACCCGTGCTCACCAGTCTGGCCTCTGGCTCAGCAGTCTCCTCACTGGGAGGCAGGGGCCCAGCATTGCTCCCAGGGCCCCCTGCAGCAGCACCCCCCTCAACACGGAGGGACTCCTCAAGCTGCAGCAGATTTAGCTGGAGTGGGGAGCTGCACCTCGAGTTGAATAGTGGAGAGTCTGGGCGGTGGGGAGGGCTGGGGGCTAGGGGGGGCAGGGATGGAGAAGGGGAGTGGGACACAGGGGTAGGGGGACCCTCGGCAGGAGTCTGAGGTACCCCACAGGGATAGCTGGGTGGCGTAGGGAACAGATAGTTAGGTAGCACCAAGGCTACAACTGGGGTCACCAGGGGGGCAGGAAAAGCTGCAGGGGACACAGATGTGGGGGCCGGGGAAAGAGGCTGGGGACCATCTCGGGGGGAGAATACTGGGAGCGGGTAGGGCTGTACCACAGCTGGGAAGGGAGTAGCGGCTGGTGGTGGGGGCCAGGGGGCAGAGGGTGGGACAGATGAGGGGTGGGACACATAGCAGGGGGCTTCCACCCGAGGGATCTGGTGGTGACGTGAGCGCTTGGCTTTAGACCGGCAGTGGTATCGGCGGCTGGGGGGCGTGCGGCCATGGTGGCAGCCTGTAGGGAGAGACCAGGGTTAGCAAGGGCCTCAACCTAGGTTTAGCGCCCCTGCCACTTACTGCCCTGCCATTCTAACCAGGGAGAGGGCAGGCGAAGGCCCTAGAGAGTTTGGCTTCTCAGACTGCACAGAACAGAGGGGACTCTGGGGAGGTGGGAGCCTCCAGGCAAGAATCACAGGAGGCAAGGACAGGGGGGTTTATTGAGAAAGGAGCGGGGAAAGGAAAGGGTACATGAGGGGCTGAGGGGTTGAGCTGGGGGTGTGCAGATGGGAGGAGCAGGGTGGTCCATAAACGAATGGGTGGGAGGCTTCGGTCCATGCGTCAAACTCCCTCAGGCACTGCCAGTGTTGGCGCTCCTTCTGCCAGTCAAGGCCATGCTCTGTCTAGCTCTTGATAAAGCGAAGAGATGGGCAGGAAAGCCGGTTCCTGAGCCCTGTGTCCGCCTACAGGCGGCCTCCCTCGGGCATCTGCTGGCCTGCCGCCTGCCCCCTGAAGCCTGACCCCACCTGGAGTGGTCCCAGCCATCCTTGCCTAGATTTGGCCCTGAGTCTGTATAGATCTCTCTCTCTCTTTCAAAATATGTTTTTATTGAGAGAGAAACATTGATGTGGGAGAAATATTGATCGGTTGCCTCCTATATGCACCCGACTGGGACCAAATCTGCAACCTGGGCATGTGCCCTAATCAGGAATTGAACTGGCGACTTTGTGGTGCACAGGATAACATTCAACCAACTGAGCCCCACTGCCAGGGCCTGTATACATCTCTTAATCAGTGACAACTGCGTCTAAGGGGGCACACTTTCTGCCCCTGCCCCCTGGCTGGACCTGAAGTAGCTTACCTGAAGCAGAGCACTTCTGCCCGCCTGACTCAATGCCAGCCCCCCAGGCTGCCCTCCTCTGGCTGCAGCCTGGTTCCCTGGCCTAGTGGGGAGACGCTAGCGAAGGGCCCATCCCTAGGCAGGGCCCAGGGCCTGGGCAACAGGGCCTCGAGCAGGAACCTCCCCCTCAAAAATCCCCTCCCCGCAACAGTCTGATCCTAGACTAGCAGAGGGCAGCTCAGAGAGGTAAAGGTTGGCTACCTCGCTCTCCAGGGGCCGAGGGAGCCATGGAGGAGCCATTGAGTCCGCGCAGCCGGCTGAGGTCCCGGAAGCGGCTGAGAAAGGCCTGCTCCTCCTTCTGTGTGTGCAGAGACAGCAAGGCCTTGGTCAGGCCCACGGGGCGGTAGGCATCTGGGGCTGGGTCAGGGGCTACTGTGGGGCTGGGGGCTGGGCATGGAGCCAGGCCAGGCAGGTCCTCCATCATGACGATGTCTGAGGAAGGCGAGATGGGATAAAGATCATCAGAATCACCTCAAGGGTTAACACCATGCCACACCTTCCCTGCCCAATAGCCTAGCCAACCCCTGGCCTCTGCCCCGCGAACCTGGGCCTTGTGTGTATCTCCTGGCCTCCTCCCCGCTGAGGACTAGCTCTGAGCCCTCTTCTCTATGCAAAGCTGTCCCAGGAGGACAGAGGATGACACCCTCCACAACTCTCAGAAGGGAAGCCCACCCCTTGGCTTCTCTTCCACATTTCCCAGGTCAATGTCCTTCAGGGTTTTTCAAGCCCTTGCCTTCTGACCATCTGTGGTCAGCACCTTGGGGATGGCGCCCACCCCATACTTTGTGAACTGACAGTAAGACAGAGGAAGCAGGGTGCGGGAAAGGCAAAGCGGCAAAGGCTGGCGGGACGGAGGCAAGGAGCGGCAGCCCCATGCTGAGACGGCGGCCTCCTTCTCTCCATTAGGGCAGAGGGGGGGGAAAGGCAGGTGGAAGGGAACTCTGGCTCAGGGACCAAGGGGAGCGGGGTACTCCCCCCTACTCCAAGCCCAAGCCCATACCCGACTCCGGGGGCTTCTTGTCTCCCACATGGACGATGGTGGAGCTGAAGCTACACTGACTGGTGACGGACACCACGCTCTCCGCCTTATTGGCCAGGGCGAGCGGGGTCAGGGTGCCTCCCACCACCGGCTCCTTCCGAGGGGTGGCCCCCTCCCCCGACAGCACTGCCGAGTGATCTGTGCAGAGAGATGGCACCAGTTACCACCACTTGCCCCACCAATCAGGAGAGGAATCCCGGGGGGGTGGGGGGGATGGATGGAAGGGAGGATTCTGGAGATCTGGAGACTGGGAGGGGGACAGGCAGAAGGGGGGAGACACAGGGCCAGCAGGCCAGCACAGGGCAGTGGGAACGGGATATGCACTGGTCTTTACCTTTCTTGGACCCCACAGGGACAGGACCTGTCCCCTGCTTGTCTTCATCAGAGGCCGAGGAGGCGGTACAGGAGGAGGAGGAGGAGGCACATTTACGCTTGATCGTGCCTGGGATGCTGCAGCTCTCCAGGTACCTGGCAACACACAAGAGGACATGGGGGCAGGGCCTAGAGTGGGGCAAGACCAGTGTCCACGTGGAAGTAGGTGCCAGACTAGCCTTACCTGAGGATGCTGTCCAGGCAGTTGATCTGCTGGTAGGAGCAACTGGAGGCTTCTTTCCTCTCAGCCTCCTCAGGGGCCACGGCTGGTGGGGCCTGGACTAGAGCAGGGTCTGCCTCCGGGTCTGGGTCTGGGGACTGGCAGTAAAGGGTCTTGGCCTTGACTGTGTCTATAGCTGGGCCGAGGAGAAAAAAAAGAGAATGAAGCTTCTCTGGGTTGGGGTGAAGGTCAGGAGACCAGCAGTCTCATTCCTCACCTACACCCACACCCCTACCAACTCACCAGGGAAGTGGGGCCGGGGAGGAGGAGGCCGAGACCGGGACTCGATAAAAAGCTGCTGCCCCTGGTGCTTCACCAGGTGCACATCCTTACAGATCTGCTGGAAGGTCACCTGTGGGACAGAGCAGGCCAGTGGTCACCATTAGGCGGGCCTGGCCAGTGTCAGGGGTGCAGGGCAACAAGAGGTACCAGTGGGGAAGCATGGAGGCCATGATGAGAGCAGGAGAAGAAAGGAGGGGGAATGAGGCAGAGCTCCTCTGGGATTGGCCATGCTGATTCCAAAAAGCAAGGGGCCTGGGAGACTAGAGGGTGTAGTGGGAAAAGAGCACTCACCGGGGCAGAAGGCCCAGGCCCCTCGGCATCACCTCCGTTGCTGTCACTAGACGAGCCAGGGCTGAAGAGAGGGCCTGGGGAAGTCACAGGGCCGACTCCACAGAGCCCCACGGCACTGGGGCTGTGCACAGGCTGAGGTAGAGAGAGGACCAGGTCAGGTGTCTACAGCCGTACAGCCCACCCCTTCCTCCTCTCCCAAGCCTCCTCTCCTCAGCTCTCACCTGTAACAGCAGCCGATGGATTTGCTCAGATAGCTCCTGGATATCAGGGC